CCTCTACTCGAGTATAGTGAATAAACCGTTGCTACGAACGAACAGCTCGGGAGTTCGGATTTCCCATAAAAAGATCCCCCCGCGGATAATGCTAGCTAACGAATTCGAAATGGCTTTCCAGATGTTAACACCTATCCCCGCATATATCTAATCTGCTAGACTATAACGGACTGCTAGTGACTAACGAAGCAGGTTCGCATATGTCCTGCTACAGCCGTAATCATACCGGTATTCTGAGTGAGGGAGATTTAGGCCTTGGAGGTCGCATGAGTGGGGGTGGATATTGCGGTGACTTTGGCCACCGTAGGCTCTGTTCCAGCTATCATACCATAACCACTATAACTAGCTTCCCCGAGTTCTTCGGAGCTTTAGTTCAACCTTTCTAGCGTGCTGCAATTGGTGCCGTATCGTACTTCTTGACCAGGTGATATAGGAGGTAGTATCCTGATGCCATCTCTATTGCTTTTCCTCTGCTCCGCTCTTTGTTTAAAGTTCTTCGTCACCGCTTGATCCTGGTCCTGGGATTACTCTGGATGAGTCAGGACGACTATGCTGAACTGGCCACCATTATGAACAAAGACATGATACCTGGTGTTTGTTATAGTGGGGTCTGACTGTAAATTTATTCGTTACACCTATCCGTGATGGAATTGATATCTTGACCTTACTCATGTTTCCGGATAAATGGAATCGCTTCATCCTCAGATACTTTAGCCAATAAATCTGTGAAATGTTCAATGTTGCGGCAATGGCGAAATGGCAAAGGACAGCTTAAAACAAGGCCATGGCTCTGGTTACATGTATTATATGCGCTTGAAACACCTCCGGAGTCGGCCGGGCAGCACAGATATTTATCTCCTTCGCAGTACGCGTAGAGGGCATCTGCCAATGCTCTTCGCCCTTCTGAGATAGCACTGCCAATGCTCTGCTTTCGGGAGATCCTTCCAGAAAGGTTCCTAGTCTTCCAACCCCGTGGATATCAGCAAGGTAGGACAAAACATCTTCGAAGTCATTCTAATCCGGGGCCCGCTCCTATGCAGATTAGTTACACCCAGGCTGTGATAGTTTATAGGAACATGTTTATACCTTGGTGTGTTCAACGATCCCCCTCGCAGTCCCTTCGTCAACCTTTACAGCTTTGGTAGCAAAACCCATTCCAGCATGCCAGTTTAGTGACAAAATTACCGTTCCCTTTAGGATTGGAATACGGGTAGCAGATCTAGGGCCCTGTGGCATCTCAGACTCTCTTCATTGTATACTTTTTGGCTTGTTGGTCAGGCTGCCGGCTACTTGTCATAAGGTTGAAACAGTCCCAGTGCAGTCCCAGTTCTTGGGGTTCGGAGCTTTCATGCTAGGGAGCAAATTTAGCTTCCCAACATATTTCATCGGCTGGAATATCCGAGGATGAGCGATTCCATAATAGGAACTGGCAGAGCAATCCGGCAACATGAGTAGGGAGATAGATCTCAATTTATGTTTGATCCACAAACACGAAACCAATCGGCTGCAAGCCTTCTATCATAGTGGGTCCGGGCTTCGTTGGATTGACTCGGCTTCTTCATTGGGGCGGGTCCGGTTCGTTAGGCCGGGTCGCATCATAACCTAGATTCCACCCCCTTGGGTTGGGTCGGGTCCAACAATGTTCAACCCGGGCGACCCAACGAACCCGGCAAAATTCTCTCGCTTAATCTCGCACCTCGAAGGATGTTCTCATGCAGGCTCATTGATGTTGATACGGGACAACAGTCCGAGCTCGCGGAGCCGGAAACTCTATTTGCGAGGAATAGAAAGGTGCCGGAAAATTGCCTACACCGAGTCAATCTAATATCATATCATATGTGCATCCTAACCGCAAAGAGATTTTGTGCGGAGCGCCAACTAGCCTTTTGCAGCTATGGAAATCTTGAACTATCACTCGTTCCCAACCTTTCCAAAGTTGAATATCTAATACCGGTAATGGATTCACAATGAACCTCCTTCCCCCTGGTACTCCAGAAATTCAACGCCCTTTCGCTCCTCGGTCCCTAGTAACCACATGGCGGGTCGGCGATACCGGGATAAAATGGGTAGTTTGAAATCGGTTCTCAAAATACTTGCTCGGTCAGCTATAACTATGAGCTTTTCCACAGGCACTGGTAGTGCTCTATGATATCAAGTCCACCATCCATCCTACGAACTTCAAGCTCACTTCCAAATATTTAGCTCCGGCGTGTGGATACCCGAAACCCCGCTCATATATTATAGTAGTATAGGAATTGAATCAGAAGCGTTTATTACTGGCATGTGTGCGCCCGGCTGGAAACCGGAGAAAGAGAAGGAAAAAAAATGCGGCTTATCGTCATGGGTCTGGGGCCACCGGAGTCGCCTAATAGAAAGCTACTTACAGTAAATGATGCTCCGTAGGAAAATAATGAATTTATAGTTACCAGACATTCAATCCCATGCTTTGTAGATACTGGCAATGTGAGCGATATTCACAAAAGCGCTCCTAGTCTAATTGCACCAAAAATCCAGCAACTCACTAAACATGTATTGGTTCTACTCATCAAGATCAAAAAGGTGAAGCAGGCCCCACAGTCAATCCAAAACCCGATGGGGGGGAGAAGGGAGGGTGCTGCAGGTAGGGCATATACGGGGCAGTAGTGGTGCCAGACCCCCCCCCCCCCCCAACTCATTCCTGAGTTATCGGTTAAGTCACGTTAGTTCTCATTACTCCCATTTTTATCTAGGGCTTAAGATACCAGTAGCGGGCTGCCCTCTATAACCCTCTTTTACACTTCCATATCTCCCTCAGTTCGGTTCGCATACGGGCCAACAGGTTCGTTGGATTAACCCAAGTTATGGTTCATGGGGTTGGGCCGGGCCCGCTTATCTATGACCTGGGCCGACCTATTGGGAGGCTTGATCGGGCTACCGATTCCCCAGCTTCTGGCATCGAAATCCGGCCAGGAGAGATCGGGTGTGAGTCGGCCTGAGCGGACGTGACCACCAACGGATTAAGACAATAGGGCTGATAAGAAGGGGTCCTAAATCTAATTTCCCTGAGACATTTGTGTCCCTGGAAACTAGCGGTCCCTCACATAATTAGTGACATGGCTATAGAGTGCTGATGAACCAAGCGCGCAAGAATGTCATCATGAATTGGGTGCTTTTGCGACCCGCGATGGAAAAGATGCCTAGGCCAGGTATCTTCGGAGCAAAGTAGCACTCCAAGCTATAGAGCTTAGGATATCTCCACCCCGACGATAGAGAAGCCATAGCGTGCCTATAGCCATTACAATAAGATGGCCGTGACCTCGCTCCACTGTCTTGAGAAACTAGACTCAAATTTTGAGCCTGCGTCATAGGTACCGAGGATCTGGTTGGAAACGGGGATGTTCATTCAGCGGTTTAGCTTAGGTGAATACCAGCAGGAGAAAAATCTTTGAGGACTCACCGGCTTCTGTGTGGACATAGAAGCGCAATCGTTACGAATTAGCTGTAAAAATACCGCCCTACCGCAGTGAAAGATACCGTATGCATTGCATAACTCCCTTCCTGTCCAATCATAAGAAGCGGGAATGACCCAGCAGTGGATAGGAGGATTTGCTCACTCAAGCCTTTGACTATACCTTAGGGCTCTGTGAATAATCCTTCCTCGTGGGGTGGGTTCTTCTCATAGGCCTTTTGCATTTTTACTGCTTGTCATATTCCATTCAACATGAAGAACTTTTTGCTTGCCACGGCGTATCTGGTAGGTGTTGCACTGGTTGGGGCCGGGCCTCCACCATATCATAACGTCCCATCTCCTCTGTTTCGTATTCCAGATATTGGCGGGCATCCTCGATATCCTCCACCTCCCCCCCCGCCTCCACCTCCACCTCCGCGCCCACCAGCGCCGCCACCACCACCCCCTGAAAAGGGAGGCCGTGAGAAGGGAGGCCGTGAGAAGGGGGGCCGCGAGAAGGGGGGCCACGAGAAGGGGGGCCGCGAGAAGGGGGGCCACGAGAGGGGGGGCCATGAGAAGGTGGGCCATGAGAAGATGGATCGTGAGAAGGTGGGCCATGAGAAGGTGAGCCATGGGAAGGGAGCCCCTCCTATACTATCACCCAAGGTAAAGCCCTGCATAGATAGAAGAAGGGAAAAGAAAAGGGGGGGTCCGTTGACATCTGCTAACTGGTATTAAAGGAGGTAATTGAAGAGAAGGATATCATCGTTCCCGGGGAAAACCCTGTGTCCGATGCTCCGGCGAAACCAGACGTAATTGTCGCCGAGACTGAGGACGCTCCCCCCCCAACCCAATACCCACCACCGCCCTTTCTTCCTCCACCAGCTGGGCCCGGATCTTATCCACCAGGTCCTCCTCCACAGAGCCCTTCACCATCAGCCCCCCCTCCATCAGGCCCTCCACCACCAAGCCCCCCATCGGGTCCTCCACCACCAAGCCCCCCGCCATCGGGTCCTCCATCGTCAGGCACCCCTCCACCGGGCCCTCCACCATCAGCCCTCCCT